TACATTTCTGTATTTGCCAATGTACACTTTACCCATCGCTCCTTCAGCAATTTTTTGGATTTTCTGACATATTCAACTCGTCCATATCCAAATGGACTGTATTCATGGCATCTGTTGTTATAACCAAATTTTCATAGTGCCGCCTTTTTATATTTTTACAAAGACTTTCCATCTTCTTTCTATCATCTTCAATCCAATTCTCAAAACTTTTATTCTTCAATAATGATGCAACTAATTCTAATGTGCTTCTTGAAGATGTTACCCAGACCGAGTATGGTATTCTCAAGTCTCTGATTCTAGTTGTGCAATGAATTGTCATAAAACAAGTCATGGTATGCATTGAAGATAATCTTGGTCTTAAGTAAAGAACTTGTGGATCGAAATAAAATGTGTATTTTGGGTTGTTTGGAGTGTGAAATATCACCATCATCCATTTGTTTTTGGAGTGATTTTTAATTTCCATTTTTTCGAATCTGGTATCGCCAATAGCAGTCAATTTGGTGTCATTTCCAAAATCAAGTCGTGTTGAGTTATGTAATATCTTGACTGTTTCCCACAAAGTGCTCTTGTTGTTCCAGTGATATAGAAGTGATAAATTGTTTGTTGTGTTTTGTAAATGTTGATATCAATTTTCTTGTATATAAATACAAAGATAAATACAATAAAGAGGAAACAAAAGATAACAACAAATGAGACTACCTATCCTTTTACTATTCCAGTTATTTCACCAACACTTAAGTCTTTTGCAAACAACTCAAAAAATCATTCGAAAATTGAACATGTCTTTCTATACATTGGCAAGTGATATTACAGTTAAATCCTCCATCACACTCTTCTTTTCTAATGAATTTTTATCATTGGAGTCATAGTTATTGTCTATCATACCATTACCAAATTAATCATAAACACAAACTCCAGCTTTTGATGCGTAGTTTAAGGATATATGACATGTACATCCATTTTGACATCATTCACTTTTTTGTTTACGATCATTCCCATTTCTAAGCTTTCCATTTCTACATCCCGAAGTGACACAAACATGGTTTTGTACACTTTTTCCTTGAGTGCATTGACAATACTGATCAGTATTGTCTTTGACCCAAAATAACATAGATTTGCCTCTTCATTGACTTGCCATCTTCCGTTGTAATAACACATGAGGTGAAAGTTCTCTCCACCATAACCACTGTTACACACACTTTCCCACATCTGAATCACATCTGCCAAATCTATTTTCGAAATTGCACTTATTAAGACAAATGATAGATATAGTCATTATAATTGATGCTCTGTAATTTTCTGACAAAAACGACAAGTATTTTTTTTCCAACCGAATCAAGTTTGACATGAATTCCATTGGCTTGCTTCACTTCATTCTACTCTTCTCTTTTTTCAATTGAAAACAGTTTTTGTTTAGTACTAACTTTTACACATTTTCTTGACACCAAATTGTTATTTTCATCATTGTCAGATTTACTTGACTCAAGTAAATGACTCGATTTGAAGACCTCGTATCTTTGAATACATACCCTTTCCCTTCATATTGAACAGTAAATAACAACGCTTTCATATATTTGATTGGCATACAAGCGGGACGTGCGAAATAACCAAATTGTTCAAATGGAATAACAACTGGCAACTTTTTTGTTAAGTAGTGTTGTCGAAACACTCCCCGAATATTCCAGGAAATTATTTGGGGAATTTTATTTTTTTTATCAAATTCCCGAACCGATTCCGGAATCAAAAAATATTCGGGAATATTTTTAACCTCGGTTCGGGAACATCCTGATTCCCAAACTTAAAATTGGTGTGTTCCCGAACCAATCAGTTCCCGAACACACTGGTTCCCGAACTTCATAAAAAAAATATTCCCAAACTTTTGATTCCGGAACATGGCGGTTCCCGAACCGATTCCGGAATCACCAGTATTATATTAAAAATTTATTAATAAGCAAACTAAAAAAATAACAACTTTGTTTTAATATTAAAATAGTAAAAAAATTAAATTATTCAAAAAACAATTGAATAATATTTGTCCAACCATAAAAAACTTGTACAGTCACAAACCTTACTTAAATGTTTTTAATTATTGTTCATTTTAAAACGTTAAACAAATTTAATATTTATACACCAATAAGAATCAAATCAAAATAATAAAAATAATCAATTTTTAATTTACACACAACTTTTTCAAGCATCTATTTTTTCTTGGCTATTATATTATGTTAATATAAATAAATACTCTGTTTGTTTTTATATAATAATATTATAATAATCATTTCGAATAAATTGTTGATTTTTAAACCAAATTGGATTGTTATAATACCCATTTTGTTTTTAAAATTATTAATAATATCCAAAAATGCAATTTATTGACATTGAATTAAACTATTTAATGATGTTGTAAACGTTGTTTGGTTGACTAAATTACAGTTATAACGTTTAAACAAAATTTATGTAAAAAATCAAAAACTTTAAATATAAATGAAACTTTAATATAATGGTATTTTTAAAAAATATAA